GCTCCTCTTCACCTGTTTGTTTACTTCTGTGTATTCAGCTTGTGCCTTGGCTTTTTTTGCTCTTGTTCGACTGGTATTGATTGCTGCCTTCTTGTTCCTTCTTTCTTGAATCTTATCCAGTGTATCAACAGTGATCTATTCCTTGTGATGGTGCTTCTTGTGGCCCAGAACCTCATGACATGTTGAAGTGATTGCCTCTTTTATACCTTTCTAGTTGCTCTCCATAGTTGTTCTGTAGTGGCATTGGACGATAACCACACAATCCTCAAAGCTGAACACGAGACATCTCGGAAAATAGATGTTTAATATTTAACGCGGAGAAATACCTAACGATAGGGAAGGCGGGAAAAAGGTATTGAAGGAATTGGAGTTGATCGAATGGCATGGCTCGGCCATGCACGCATGGTCCCTGCTGAATGTCACCTTATATCTTTTATTCATATTAAATATATTGCTCTATCTCTAGCCTAAGCTTGTTCTCCATCATGTATTGGTAGTTTTTACGATACAGTGAGTTGGTATGGACGATGATGTGACTTCCACGTAAGATCTTATAGATTAGGCAGTTATACCATGACAAATCTACAATTTTAGGATTAGGTCTATTATTAGAGCAGTACTTATATCATAGTAGACCATAGTTCTACAGTTCCTTCTCCATTGAGTAGATCATGAAAGGACTGGAACTTATTGCTGAGGACTATCTTGAATTTGTTGAGTTTGTCAGTATCCTGAAGAAAGGCAGTATTGAACATTTGTGATATTGTCCTCCCCATTGTCCAGTACTTCTTAAGTTTCAATTTCATCTTGGCGACCAGTAGATGATGGTCTGATGCTATATCAGCTCCTCTCTTGGTTCTCACGTCCTCTATAGTCCTCTCGAACGTTTTGTTGATGCAAATATGGTCGATTTGGTTTTGTGTAGAGTGATCCGGTGAAGTTCATGTGGTTTTGTGAATGCGTTTATGTGGGAATATGGTGCGGCCTATGGCCAGTTTAGTGAAGGCACATAGGTTTGCAAATCTCTCAAGATTTTCGTCCCTTTCTCCCAGTCCGTGTTGTCCCATGATGTCTTCATATCCAGTGTTGTCCGTTACAACCTTAACATTGAAATCTCTCATCAGAATGGTCAGGTCCTTTGTTGGGCACTTCTCGACGATTGACTGCAGCCTATTGTAAAATTGATCTTTAGCGTCTTCATTGTAGTCGTTGGTAGGCGCATAGCATTGGATGATGCTCATTGAAATACCCTCTTTCTTTGTTTTGAAGGAGGCTTTGATGATCCTTGGTCCATGAGATTCCCATCCTATAAGTGCATTTTGTGCTTGTTTGGACAGCATCAATGCAACTCCTTGTGTATGTGGTGCATTTACTTATTCATGGCCGGAGTATAGCAGAAGCTCTCCTGAAGTTAGTCTATGTTGTCCAACTGGAGTCCAATGATCCCAAGCACCTCTAAGATGTATCTCCTCATTTCTGCAGCAATTTGGAAAGCTCTTCCGGTGTCCCACATTGTACGAAAATTCCATGTACCTAAATAAATGGTTGCTCTGGGTTTTAGAAGGGGCATCGGCCTCGTGGCTTCCGAAGGAATTCGGCTTTCATCATGAGGCGTCATAGTTCTTTTAAATGAAGACCTCCTGACTCCCGGGGCAGAGTTTAAAAAATTTGAATAATTTTTCCTGGTTAGCGTTTTTTAGCGAGTTAGTTTTCTACGGGATGGGGACGCTAACCCCATGCCCAACCCTCCTCATTTATCCGGGCTTGCGACCGACAATAGCCGCCGGAGAGACTCCAGGCGGAGTTTCATGCCTAAAATAACTAGGCTTATTTCAACGTTATCCATTTATTCGTATCATAAAATTTCGTCATATTAATGGATTAGAAATTTATCACATAAAACTTAAAAGTACTGTAATATAAAGAGATTAATTTCAGTGTTGGTTTCTCTCTTAAATCAGTTAACTTATTAAAAAAAAATTTTGTTATCTGGCTGGGTAACTGTGCTTAGTGGAGTGCCCCGGGGTGCAGTTTTGGGGCCAGTGCTATTCCTCTTGTATGTAAATCACCTTCCGTGTCTCCTATCATCATCGGTCTTGCTACATGCTGACGATGTCAAGATATGGAGAACGATACTATGTAAGAGTGATAGCTTAGAACTTCAAAATGACCTGAAGAAGTTCTCTGAATGGTCTCAAACATGGCAGTTGCCGATAAATACTTCCAAGTGTGTTGTGATGCATATCGGTCATCAAGGTACAAATACGTACACGATAAATAACACTGAGCTACCTGTCGTCCAGACATATAATGACTTAGGAGTTATCGTTAGTCAAGACTTAAAGACTACTGCACACTGCCGTGCAATAGCCGCCAAAAGTTTTAGAACGTTATGGTCAATACGTAGGGCTTTTAGTCATGTCGACGCTAAGACGTTTTTGACTTTGTATACAGTGTTCGTTCGTCCTAAACTTGAGTACTGCATACAAGCGGCTAGCCCCTGCTTTAAAAAAGACAGTGAGCTTCTGGAAGAGGTTCAGAGAACGGCGACTAAGCTGATTCCCGGAATAGCGAAGCTTCCGTATGAATCTCGACTGGCCAGGCTGAACCTTTTCCCGTTGTCATATCGCAGAACTAAAGGCGACTTGATTACAGTCTACAAATTGCCTAGTGATAAATTTGCACCTAACACGCCCTCATTTTTCTTGTCTTCCAAAACAGAGAATTTACGAGGACACTCCAAAAAAGTTCATAAGCCGAGAACAAATTACTTGTCAACTGACTATCGACTTTCCCATCGAATCATCAACGAGTGGAATTCACTACCTCAGCACGTGGTTGAGGCTCCATCCGTCGACTCTTTCAAAAGAAAGTTGGATCAACTGAGAGACAACCATTGCCAGGACTAACATAGGCCATCGAGCCTCCTGTCCTTCCCAAACTGAAACTGAAACTGAAACTGAAACTATATTATAACATAGGCCATGTGCCTTCAGTCCTTACTACACAAATCATAAAACAAAAATGACATATTGAAGTTGTTTGAATGCCGCACTTTACAATCTATGCTCATGTGATTTCTTTTTACAGATTACGGGGAATCAAATAGCTCATTTTTCTACTCATCCAATTTGACACTTGAAGAACGTCAAGTCTTAGCGCATCCGAAACATGACGCTACCGACCCCGTTCCTGATCGTTAGATTGCTTTAATAGCAAACTTGGGTTATGTCTTATTGTTATCGATTACTTTTCTGATTAGCTGTAATTGCGTTCTATTTACTTACCGGGTCGTCTCACTTTTTCTCCTGTTCTTCCATCCTTACGATTCGAAGTCTTACGCTGACTGACAAAAATGCCTTTCGAGCAAACCTTGCATTGGTAACATTGAAGCCTATTTTTGACCAGTTTGACGATAGGACTTACCACATAATCTTCAACAGTTTTATTTGTCCGCATTTAGAATAGTATGTCCTCCCTCACTCCAAAAGGATAAGGACACTGGAGCATATCCAACTACGAGCCACGAAATCATTTCGGGGACTCAAATCCAAGCCTTGTGAACAGCGCCCCCGATCACTAGACCTTTACTCATTAGAGTATAGGCGTGTTAGAGGTGACCTTCTAATGGCCTACAGTATCCTTAAAACCTCTGGACATCCTCTTAAACACTTAAGCTTAGCTCCAACACAAACCTAACGGGTAACACCCAGGAAATAGGAACACAACACAGCAGAACGGACTGTGGACATAACTTTACTCCTTTAGAGTAGTCAAATGCTGGAATTCGCTGCCGACTGAGCCAGTGCAAGCGACTTCCCGGGAGTACTCTAAGAGGCAACTTGACCTATTCTTAAGGACTAGGGATAATGTCTTACTATGATTTACAAATTTTTTCCCCTTTTATCAAGAATATACATAGGTTCCTGCTTGGAGGTATTGATGATCCACTGCTACTAGACACGGAAGCCCGTTAAGTGAAAGCTTCTATTCTGTCCACAACCATTTGAACTATTTATAGATTCGAACACCTCCCTTTCTCATCTAATACGAGGAACCTTCAGGCTAGACACAAGCCTACCGAAGTCTGGCCGTCACATCGCAGCATGTTTTCTTGTTCCACACATCTCGTTCTTAGTTATTGAGAATGCTTCAGTGTAACACTTGAAAACAAGAAAAGATCTAACTGACGGCCTCATAAACCTGATAATATCAGTCAGTCAGTTACAACGTAGCACCAGGCACATACATGCATTGGCCCAAATTGCCATACCTCATTAGTACCGAATTCATAGACTTAGTTACTCCAGTGGTAGCAATATATATATATATATATATATATATATATATATATATATATATATATATATATATAACGATGGTATTTAGAGATATAAAATAGGAAGAAAAAATAAGTTCGTAGAAATAGAGGTATAAAGCATTTTAATCTCATGGGAAGATAAAGAGTGTAATATGGCAACAAACCACCGAATCCCCAGTACTTCTGTTTTTCCTTCCCGTTTTCTGATCGAAAACTGGTTTAGTTAATTAGAACGAAACTTTATGATAAATGTAGGGCTAGTTGCGTCACTGTATCGGTACAAAGCGTAATATAAGAGTTCGATAAAACCTGATTTTTACTATGCACATACATTCACTTTCCTTCATAGATATATAATATTAATGATAAATATAATTTTAAAGAAACATGCGCAGCGTCTTATATTTGTCATTTACTCATATCGACTCCTTCCAACTATCTTAATAAATGCATTTCACCAACATATTCAATCACTTAATTTTCACAAGGTTGTGTTCGCATTTAGGTCTAAAGGTTGACGTGATTTACTAGTCATGGAAAATTGTCTTACTTCCGTTAAGCTACAGACTAATGTTTGCAGTTTGACAAGCTTAATCTCAGTAATAAAATATTCTGTCATTAATCTTTATTTTCATGTTTTTAGATCTCTTCAAATAAATTTTAGCGTTTGATGTAAAATATGGATAAGTCGGTTGAACGTGCTGAAGGGGTTCTCGTTTATAATCCTAAAACTGTACCTCATGGTGCCATACAGTTAAATCCTTCTGAGGCACTTGCTCTGCGTCTTCAAATAATCAATTCATGGAACAAACCTCTAGAAGTGTTACCTCTTAAGTTTGGAGGAGAAGCAGTAACAGTAGCTACCTTTTTCTCAAGTTTACTTGTAACTTATCGCTCAAGATCGTTTTTTAATATGTTCACTAGAGTTGGACTTGCTTTGTCTTTGGTTCCATGCGTATTTCTTCCTACTGGCATCGCACACCACTGTTTTACCCGTTTTGTTTCTAATCAAATTCTTGTTGGACCCTCTAATTCAATGTTATATCCTGACTGTAGTATTTGCTTACAAATACGTGAAGCTCTAATAATGGTGAGTGATCCTGTTCATAAGCTTAACATAATTATTTTAGAGATATTTCTCCGTTCTTACTTAGCTACATATTTCGTGTTTATGTATTTCTTGCACGTATAATTTGTTCTGCTTCTTAGACCAAGTGCTGTCCATATGATTCATTTTCCAAGATATTGATTCAAAATCACAAGTGTAAACACGTACCATCAAGTTTCATTGAAACAAAATTCACATTTAATGGGTTGGCTAAGCAAAACCTGTATCTCTAGGAGATTTTACCTAGTGTTCTAATCGTTCGTGTCTTGTTAACCGTACCAATGAGGTGTGGTTCCTCAGAGTATAATCTTTAATCCCTTGGTTTAGTAAATTAGTTTATAGGTTGAAAAGTAATAACTTTTAAAAGCTGTCACGTTTAATTAATCCCTCTTTTAAAATATGGCAGTAAAATGCCAACTCACAGAGAAATACGTAACCATTGATAAACACAAATTTACTACAGGTCTAACGTTTTCGAATAATTGGTCGATATAACTAAATTAGTTTACTAATTTAAAATCAATCTTCCCTTATTGCAAAACAGGGTTTTTGATATGTTATGATTAATTTTCGGTTGTGAAAGTGATGGATGGAAAGCCAGTTAGTAAGTGATGAACTCTAGTACAAGGTGGTCATGTATAATTTATGGTGACTTGGCAGCGAAACCTAACTCCGTTTGATATTTGGTTGCAACGGATGCTACAGCCACTTCGCTTACATCAATCAATTCGGGACAATGAATTAGTTGGTCAGTGAAACGTAGGATAAGATTGGTGCAAACCAAGACATGATCAGAGTCCGGGTACACACTGCAAAAATGGCCAGTCTTGTACACAACCACACCAGCGGCAACCGATCTTAATGCGGTTAATTCGAGTCCAGACTTAAGTTATATAGGGAGGACGCCAGACAGTACATCGCTGATGACTATATCAAAAGTCGGTTCTACCCAGAAACATGTCTGCGGAAAACGATCGCCGTTATCCGACCTGCAACTAACGAGTATCCATTAGCCACCCAGATAACTTTCCTCTGTATCCAGACACCTGACCTTCCAATTTAGATCTCTAGCTAGCACTAAAATATATGTTGGACGCGCTTTACTGCGATCATTTAATTTGTAGCAGAATTGATACTTATTCGCATCTGTGCTACAATCTGTCGGAGTGTAGGCAGAGATAACAAGAAATTGTTTTCACACCGATTCTGCCTCACTTTGGTGAAGCCTTCCAATGTAACAGGACATGCACGACTGTTAATGGAGATTCAGTCGGTTATTACTACCTCTACTCTGGCGCTTAGTGCGATTCCAACACGACCACCAGCTAAACCCGATCAAGATGCCACAGGGTCTCCGGTCAAGCGCACGCAAAACAGGCTTTCCGATTCAACAGATGGAGAGTGATTTTGTGGTACCTTTTGAATACGAGTCTCGAATAGACAACAAACGTCAATATTAAGACTTTGCAAGGACATAGCCAAATCTATCTGTTGTTCAATCCGCATTAGTGTGTGAACGTTGAAAATCACTTTGAGTGACATGTAGTTTCCGAAAGGCAGTATCAGTAATCATATCCGGTGGTGGCTTTTAAACATTTGACCAGTCACAGACTTGAGTTCATTTGCACAAGACAATTTTCGCACCATAGACGAGCCGTGAGCGAGTCAAAAACAAATAAAAGTACACTATGGAAATAAAAAGGAGTAGGAGAAGGAAGTAAAGTAAAACGAGATCACTTGAATTAGGTGAGTAATAAATACCTTCTGAATAGGTAGAGAAGCAGATCAAGTAAGTCAATTCCCTCATAATTACTCATTGTCATATTTGGGAGGTCCGTAGTACCCACCAACCCGGTCCAAGCACTGTTTGTCTTCTCATTTCTCTAAACAGCACCTATGCAGCGAGAAGGTGGTAAGTAGAGCTTCTCCAGCTGTGGTCATGTCAGCATTTCGAGATTGAGAGTGAACTGTTTCTTAACTGTACTAGGGCGTTTAGAGTTAAGCTTGTTAACTATTATGTAATGTTTGATGCTTGGTCATGTGAGAGCATTTCGAGAGGGAGAGCGGACTTTCCCCACTCTCGGCCGTACCAGGGCATTTGGGGGCGGTCGAACTGTTGTTTAAACCATATTTTCCGGTGAATATTTAAACCAACTACATCAGACCAAGACGTGTTTGCACGACCTAGTTTCATGTGAAACTCCCATCTTTTGGTTCACATTTTGTTAGTTCCTCAATGTGCTGACGTAAAGTGTGACATAAAAGAGAAATGGATAGAATCCAATTACTCCTTAATTTGCTCCTTTTTGGAAATTGAAATAATTGGAACGAAATGTATAGTCTACTCAAAGTTATTGTTGTTGTAATGAGTGACAACACAAAACAATAGTATTTATAAACAATAATAATTTACTGTAATCATTTCACCGCGAAAAATGTTTGGCCTACGAATTACTGTTACTATTCCCAATTTCATCTGTTTTACAACGTTGTTCTCATTCTAGATTAGTGTAAAATATCCAACTTATTGTTATACGAGTTCATTGAGAGTTTGTCGCTTATTTTTTCTTCAGAATACGTGTGGATTGGTCCTACCCCTAGGCTTTGGCTTTCTCTCTTCTGCAGCCTCTGCACTTATCACACGATCTTACCCGGTACCTGACCTGCTTGATGTTAAAAGAATGTGGAGAATGTTCAAACTCTATAGTAACTCATTTCGAACTGTTGGCACCTGTTTGCTTTTGGGTCATACAATATTTGGAACAGCATTGGTATACGCTATGATGGATAGTAATCAACGTGTTCTCAGGCAGCAAAAGTTTAGTCCCAGTAGTGATTCATATAATGAATGATTCATTGCAAACTAAATCGAACTTTAGTGCTTGTTGTAAATTGGTTACAATTAAACTAATATAGATTTACTTTACTGCACTAATCTTCTTAACTCTTAATTATATTTGAAAAAGTTATCGACCTAATTTTATCCAAACTACAGGCAGCAAAATGTCAGACGAATACACAAAGGTATTGCATTTCTTTTGCACTGATCATTTTCTAATTTTCTTAATCTCTTTTATACTGAGTACACTTTCCAATATGAGTTAACTTTATTCGAATATTTGTTATGATTAAGACAAGTTTTGCAACAAATATGTGTGGCGTTTTAAGATAACTCATAAGAAACTCAATATGATCGCATTCATATTGCTTTGTTAACGCCTGGTTGTAACTAGCGCACAAATGACAAGCTTGTGTATTTTAAGATTTATTAATTGTAGTCACAATTGGACTGAAGTATGTCTGTATTTTGTTGGTCAGTGTTGTTTATTTAAAGTTCATCGAAAGTGATATTGTGGTGTGCGCTACTTACGCGGACAGATATTAGTAGTATATGACAGGTTTTTGAAATGAAATGCATACCAGCAGAGGACTGAAATAAGGTGAAGAGTAAGGAAAACAGAGCAGTCGAAATAACAACAGAATTGGAGGAATGGAGTATGTAAAGGACAACTTAAGGGAAATGTGCAATTGATGTATTTAATGTGTGTTTTTCATATTTTACAAAGGCACTGTGTCCTTTTGCATAAAACAAATTGCTTTACCTTGCCTGCCTTTTCGTTCACTACAGTATTACCGCCTTATTGCATAATAGTTTTCTTCAATAGTTTTTCCCCCAGTAATATTTTAAGGTTTACTTTAAATAATACTCCATGTTCATTTGCAGTTAGTCAGAATATAGTACAGACCAAATCCCACCAATGTAAATAAAAAGTTGTCGTATTGATTAACATTGACTATGATATTTTTTCATGTACTTGAATACAACATTAATCAATAATGTCAAAAACTGCTTAGTAGTGTTAATAGTATGCCGACATTTACCACAACCTTAATGTTGAAAATAAGATTATGTAAATCCTTTGTTTGTCTTCATATTGAGTTAGATTTGAATATGTTGCACCATTCCGATCAAGTAAATGGCATGTGCATACATATTTGTCCAATCTTTTCACAGAACTGTTGTTTGAATGGAAATTTAGTCTCACTAATCAACTTTTATCTGAGAAGTAAATTATTGTATCATATTTCGCGCGAATACGGTTCAAAGCTTACTACCTGTACTTGATTACTTAGTCGAATGTTTTATAACCATCGTAAACAATTTAATTGTATTTGCTGTATCTGGTTTCTACACTGATTATATTGGTTAGTCAATCATCATATCATTCTCATTGCAGAAATATTTTGAATTAACGAAGAAAGTTTACCAACAAGTCACCGTATCATGATATTTATAAGCATGAAAATCATATTGAGTGTGTTGGGGTTTTCTATTTGCTATTTTATCGCTACATAACGCTTGAAAAGTTATTCTAACTATTTATTCATATGGATTTTAAAAGTGATTGGAACTTTTTAAAAATGATGGTTATTTTTCTGTTCAAATGGTTTTATTGTCTGAATGACATGTATTAGGTCCTCACCTAGAATTTATTTTAGCTATATATATTGATCAAATGGCCATATTCAAACTCGTTTAAGAAGCCGATTCGAAATAAATAAGTGATAGTTTTATCCCTGTTAATTAGATAACCAGTTAAATAATACTAGGTGGTATCGAATGGCAATAAATTCCTCCCCATCCAAAGTAATTAAACAACTACATATAAGGCAAACATTTCACTTATCTTGCAATTTTTGTCACTCCTGGCAACTTGCTGGTTAATTAATTCTCTGAATGGATTTAAAGAGCTAGTTTAGCTTTTGTCATCTTGTGTCAGCTTTCAACAAAGTGGCGAGTACAATGCAACGGTTTGTTCTGTATTACTCTATGATATGGAAACATGGCAACTGAAAGTCAAACGCTCCTCGTTTTTGATCACAGGTGTCTTTAATGCACTGCTCGCATATTGTGGAACAAGATCGAACAATACTATAGTTAGTAGAGAGTATTAGACCAGTATAGCATCTCGTTTGTTGACGTTGTGGGTTTTCATCGACTGAGGTAGTTGGGACATGTGTTATATATGCCCAACCGCGACCCACGTTAAAATGCAATATTAACTGGTGTAGTGAGTTTGTTATGAAATGATTACGCGATAACTATAATATTTCTTGACACGTTTTCTAAAGTCTGGTTTCGCAAGTAGTTTGTCAATCTGATTTACCCATGAGCCAAAAAGCGTCCGATTTCCTAAGTGTGATTTCTGGATTATGTTTCCATTGATTACTTTTTTCTCTACAGATAAATGTAAGCATTGGCGGCTGCAAAAATTGCGTGTCCTGTCTTCATCACTTACTTGAAAAATATGCTGGTACGTTTATACATATTTTTTAATAAATCCGCAAATATAAAGCCTCTTATCCGATAAAAGATAAAGCAATAGCATTGTGGTTGAAGCACTTGGCTGTCAACCAGCAGGTCCCAGGTTTGAACACCATTACGTATATTTCAGTTGGTCAGTATAATTAGTCGCTACACAATGCGTAATTCTAAGCTGGATTCATAATCCTGTACTTAGTAAAGTTGTTATATTACCAGTTATGGAAAATACTTCCTTCAAGCTTCATTATTTTTTATTTTCGACAGAACGGGAGAATAGGCACCCTACATTTCACTAATAAGTACGTTCTGACTCTCCTAATATCACTATTAGTAAAATACGTCAACGTAAAATATTATTCATCACTGTTTTGAATTAAGCAGTTCCATTCAATGAGTTTACGTCATTAAAAAAGAGGAGAATAATAAATTTCGTCAACAGTTTATTTTAAAACACAAAATCATTGAATCCAACATGTAGTTTTATGATATAATTTATTTGTAAAGTCCTAATAACTAGAAACACTACACTTTCGACGTTTCGTCATTTAGTGTAATTCACTTCTTCGAAGAATAAAAATAAATAGAAGTTTGAATAGTGCAAAAGGCACAATGTAGGATATTTTCAGTCGTCGAAATTAACATAGGTCTGATCATGGTAATATTATGTTATTCCGGTGAGATCTAGCCGTGTATATGTTAATGGGTGTGTTAAATATGATATTTGTAATGTGAAAGAAGAATATCATCTACAACATAGCAATTTTTGTGCCTTGTTTCATTGAAGAAATTTTCTCTCTTGTTTGGTCAAATGACTTGAATAGTTTTAAAATTGTAGCTGCTGGTTATTAATTTTTGAAAAGTAATGTAAAGAGTAAATATTCCTTCAATGTTCACCTTTTCTCCAAACTACGAACGTTGATAACTTACAAAGTACTAGCTCTATCGTTTCAAATGTCGTCACGGACACCGATAATGTCTATTTCCACTACATTGTACATGGTAGCGTTCCAATCGCTTGAAGGGTTAAAGAGCGCTATCAGTACACGAAAGGCAACATACTACTATTGTGCGGTTCATGATTTGCATTTCCACAAGAATCAGAAGCCGTATATAAAACTTGTATGTTAGAGAAATGGTCGTAAAATAGTCGTCAAATCCCCACAGCCTATTCGATAGAGATGGTATGTTGGTCAATATTGTTATATATTTTCCTGAAGGGGCCCAACAAATGCTTAATGTCCGGCCTTCGTCTATCGTAAATTTGTTGAGGGTTACTGGGCTGTTGTTCGTGGGAAGGCGCATCACAGTCATGAATGCAGTTCCCTAAAGTATGATAACCATTCGTGGATGCTCAGGCGCGAGTGTTCTAGAACTCTAGCTGGACTCTGGGAGATTACGCAAGTCAGGACTTTTCAAACTATGTATGTGTTTGTGGTGCATTATAATGATGATATCATTTACTTTTGTTCGTTTCACTTGTTAATCTGCACAGTAGAAACACAAATATAAGTGTTCATTTCTATCTAATTATTTCCAGATATAAAGGAATATATAATTAGTTCTGAGGAGAATCTCATATCAATACATCCAGTTTATGTAAAACGAGTGACCAGCCTTTTAAAATTTGTTGGATTGGATATTAAAGATGTCGATAATCATTTATCAGTTTACAGTAAGGACAGTAAAGCCGAGTCAAACGATGACGTCTACTTCTTACCGGAGTTAGATGATAACTCACAAGTTGGTTATTCGTCTAATTTTTTTGTCATTTTCACAGTTAGCTTATTAGATTGCTTTCAGTAATCGTTTTTAGTTGCTACCATCGGGTCCAAGATAAAATTACTTAACCTTTAACTACATGGTTGCAAATGCGAATCCCACTCCACTTTAATGTTCGGTTAGGCAGGTACTATCTCTAGCCTTGACACAAAAGCCGAGTACACAAATCTGTACGTTTGACTGATCAGTGACCAATATTATGTTTGTTTATTCCTGTAATGCTAATTAGTCAAGTTACAATGCGGCCAATAGTCGAAGTGACTCAACGTCGCCAGATAACACGAAAACTGGGTCTTCGGTTTCCTTCCAACTACCTTCGACCACCTGACATTTCGCAATAACTTACTCAACGTCGAATCACTCAGACTGGTGGCTACGCTGCAACTTGATTGTTATAATTCGGTCAGAGCTAAAATACTACACAAGGGTAACACTTGTCACTACTCAGCAATCAATCAATTATAAATATCTCAGTTTTGTAGCGTGTCAATTAAAGCCCTAAAAGCTGAATAGTAACGTCTCAGGCTGTAAAGCTAGGTAACATGGGTCTAAAACCCACAAGAAGCATCAGTTCCTTCACAACTGAAGGGATGCCTTGTTGACGTCCCAACTAATCTGGAGCACAGGTCCAGTGTTTCAAGCTGACGACCACCTGACACGAACATGTGTTTGGTAAGTAGTTCTGTATCAATTAAAAGCAACAGTGGCTGAGTTTCACAAACCATATTTTTTACATTCACTTACCCTGCTTCTGTTTTATGTTCTCGCTACATTCATGCTAACGAAAACTTACACAAATCTGGGTGTATTTAACCAGCCGAAAGTACTTAATTACGTCTGTTACCCCTCGTGGAGAAGCATAAGCAGCCCACCAACATCTTCCATCCGACCATGTCCTGGGCAATCCTTTCCGATTGCTGTTTGCTCTTTTGATGTCCGCTTCCAATTCCCGACACAATGCATTCCTTGGTCTTCTTTTCCTCTACCCTTCAGGATTCCACGTTAGGGATTGTCTCGTGATGCAGTCTGATGACTTCCGCATTGTATATCCTACCCGCCTCCAACGTCTTTCCTACTTTCTTCTTCAATTGGAAGCTGGTTTATTCTCCACCACATTGGGCTGTTGCTGATGGTATCCGCCCAGTGGACAGTTGTTTATAAATTCTTGTACCTTTTTGACGATGATTGTAGTAGTTCTTTACGTTTTAGCTCCGTACAGTAGAACTGTCTTGAAGTTCGCATTGAGGATTCTGACTTTGGTGTTGGCTGGCAGTTGTTTTGAGTTCCATATGTTCTCCAGTTGTAGGTCTGTTCACGACCGATCATTACGGAGTCCAGCCTGTTGGTCTTGAAGTTGGGTGTCTACTGAACCTTCCATCCGGTTGAACAACACTACTGAAAACATGTCCGGGTACTTATAGTATTGTAGTGTCTCTGTATTTCCCACACTTGCTCATATCTCCCTTCTTTGGTATCCTGATTAGTTGACCTTCTCTACAGTCTGTGGGCACTTGTTCCTCTTCCCAAATCTTCCTAAATAGAATGTGGAGCATGTTTGCAATCACTTTTATATCTGATTTCAGTGCTTCAGCTAGTATATTGTCAGGTCCTGCTGCCTTCCCACTCTTGATTTGTCTGATGGCCATGCTGATTTCTCCATTCGTTGGTGAAGTGACACCTATGAGAAAGTCTCTGTGTGCTGCTTCCATGTCCTGTGGGTTCAGTAAAGCTGGTCTTGCGGCAAGTGCGTTAATTCATATGTATAAACAGTTTCGTTTAGACTTAAGAAAATACTGTTTATTTCACTGTCTTTTCAACTTGATGTGGAGTCAACATTAATCACGTATATAGGTTCCAATGATAGTTGGTTGCCACAATAATCATAACCGATCGACATTGTACTAATCTATCAACCAATAAAGAATACATTGAATAATCGCGTAATGTGGGATAAAAAATAAACGATTTTGAGGAAAATTAAGTGATAACTGATTCACTGTTAATGCAAAGATTCGAAAACCTCATTTGTATTTGATTTGACATCAAAAAAGTGACCGCTTTACATTCAACGTATTGATATGTAATCCATATCATTATGAGACCGTTATTTGTCGTTAAAATTCAGTAAACTGTGGAAATAATTTACTTAATTTGTTCAAATTTTCAAGTATGATAGACAGCTGACAATTTTATGTCAATAATCTTCAATTAATGGATTCTTAGTTGGTATTTACTCCTATTTATCACCAGGTATTTTAATTTCCTTAATTATTTCACACATTTTCTTTTATCTCGTAAAAAACGGCTAGTTCACATAATGCCTATGCTTCATTTGAAGTTACGTCAATTCATTTTTCATCGCAGATCAATTCTATGGCATCTAAACGCAAACGACTAGACGGTCATCTTATTATGAAACGAAACAACCACTGCATTATCGCCTCCGAATTAGTAGCAATACTTCCGCATGAAGTTGAATGTTGTCGACCACATTTAGTACCAGGTTGGTGTGTTGCAGTTCACTCAGAACATCATCTAAGTAAAATAAATCAATATTTACAATCATTTGTTCCACTCCCTGGGGAGCTCAGTCATATTAAACGAATAGACAGTTGCCGATCATATGAAAATAAATCAACTTATGTCTTTTTGCAGATAGCCAAATCAAGGTTTGTGTTGTGAACGTTATCAGCACGTATCAAGTGCCAATTAGTATTTGTTTCTCATGTTGTAATTCACTTACTAACCACTGGTTCATGTGGTCGGTTTCGGGCCCACACTTTATCGCAGCGCTAGTGGTATTACGGGCCTTCTAAATCGAAGTAAACAGAGTGGATTTGGAACCTTGAATTGATTCCTACGTTTTTATTGTATGATGAAGGTATAATTTCGAAAGTGTTAGTTTCGGTATTTCAAAAAAACTAATACTGCTTAACCAATAATTGAGCAGTTGAGGTTCGATCAGGGATGAAAATAGTTCTGTGTTCCTTTCGAAAAGCTCTTATGGCTACGTTTTTATAGTCACTGCGGGAAACGTTTTGCGCACTGCATGAGTGTTGGTTACGAGAGGACAAAAAGCGGACGTCTGGTTCTTAAACTCGGTTAGTGGATAAAGGTAGTCCGTTCACGAGAGCTGTCAAACCTCCATTCCAAACCTATGGTGCACATGTCAGCTATAACCTTGATGCGATCGGACGGCTTATGAACCTATTGTTAATCACCGGCTACTATGGAATTGGATAATCCGACGTTGTTCCACTGCCCTTTGGATGGGATTCTTGAATTTGTGGCCCCTAGGGAAACGCTATATGGTACAACATGAGCTGCGAGACAGTATTGCAGCACTCTCAGAAATATGGCAATGAGTAAACATGAAGAAATCGACTTACTTGATCTGCTGCAGAAGAGAGAAAGCCAAAGCCTAGGGGTAGGACCAATCCACACGTATTCTGAAGAAAAAATAAGCGACAAACTCTCAATGAACTCGTATAACAATAAGTTGGATATTTTACACTAATCTAGAATGAGAACAACGTTGTAAAACAGATGAAATTGGGAATAGTAACAGTAATTCGTAGGCCAAACATTTTTCGCGGTGAAATGATTACAGTAAATTATTATTGTTTATAAATACTATTGTTTTGTGTTGTCACTCATTACAACAACAATAACTTTGAGTAGACTATACATTTCGTTCCAATTATTTCAATTTCCAAAAAGGAGCAAATTAAGGAGTAATTGGATTCTATCCATTTCTCTTTTATGTCACACTTTACGTCAGCACATTGAGGAACTAACAAAATGTGAACCAAAAGATGGGAGTTTCACATGAAACTAGGTCGTGCAAACACGTTTTGGTCTGATGTAGTTGGTTTAAATATTCACCGGAAAATATGGTTTAAACAACAGTTCGACCATTACAAAACAATTATAACGCTTGTTATAAAATAAAGAGAACAGTAGTTGATGGATTCATTTTTATTTCGTTGGTTCTCGTCAGCTGCTTATAACCTGTGATATTTAAAAATCATAATTACATAATGGGTTTGAATTACTTACATGAAAGAGTTTGATTGGAAGTTTTATTGAAGACATATTCGTATAGTATAGCAAGGGTGTAAATAATTTTTGTAGACTGAATATTGTTAATATATACCTTATGTAAAAGAACATTGTGACAACAGTTCAAACGGCTAGAAACAAGTAAACATTGATAGGAATAAAATGAGTAGAGTTCAGTTGATAAAATAAGATTACTAATTTGGAAGATAGTTGAAATAAAACTCAATGATGTGATAAGTGCAAGAAAGAGTTTAAAGGAAAAGAAAAAAATACTAAGATACAGCGAAGGAATATTAGTCACCAAGGCAAGGAAAGATTAATAACCATCTCCTTTTGAACACATAAATCAGGTTTTTGGTGTCTGATAGCAACTACTTCAGCAAACTTTAGAAGACTGGAGTTTAGCTGCTTACCAATCACCTTGAATGATTGTAGGGTATCGACCTGATGTCCTGTATCAAGATGTTGAGTGATTGCCCTATTTAGAGTCTTTCTTTCTCTTGTTCTGAGGCTTTTTGGAACATGTTCAAAAAATCTGAGGCTCGCCATTTTTGCAGTGTGTACCTGGACTCTGATCATGTCTTGGTTTGCACCAATCTTATCCTACGTTTCACTGACCAACCAATTCATTGTCCTAAATTAATTAATGTAAGCAACATCCGTTGCAACCAAATATCAAACCGAGTTAAGTTTAAGGTTAGCTGTCAATCCACCAGTATATATGAGTATTATCTGCATCTGCATAACTTTGTGAAAATGGCTGCTCACTTATTTTGTGGCTTTGGGAAATGTCCGACCTATGAAGATTTTGTTCCTAGAGTTCTTCACAATTCGTTGCTTCATATATATATATATACTCATCTTGAGCTGATTTACATATGCCAGAATGTGATCATTTGCAGTTCGTACCAACAACAGGAAGATTAGAACTCCGAGAAAATCAATTAAACGTAATGTTTGTTGTTTGATGATTTCCATATTATTCGAGATTATACTTATTTGGACTTGTGAGCTAAAGTCTGGTTTACCTTAGTTGTTAACCAATTCTCTAAAGAACTAACTCTGCAGTTTGGGGTTCAATATTTATTATTGTCTCATATTTGGTGTGGTGAACCGATAGTTTGCTATTGCTACTTTCTAGATTATAATGAAGATTCAAATATGTGTGATTTCTTTTGCCTCCATTTGTTGCAGCTATACATGGCTAGATGCCAATGAAACTTTGAAATCTATGGTCGACTTACTACAGTTGAATTCATCCGATCACCAGTTTATTAGCACATCCCCAACACCCTGCTGGATACCACTTCATGCACCAATAACTCGCAAGCATCAGCTCCTCTACTCATTTTCAAATGAATCACAAGAGAAGAGATTTTCATCGTTCAAAAATTCACTTAATGAACCAATTATTTTAGGTTGGCCATCCACTTTACGAGCCTGTCCCGAGCTTGAGGAACTAGTGAACGTTGGACGAAGCTTGTCGTTATCATGTTTCTCAGAATTAGAGCTAAAAAAGTAGGTTGTTTAGTCTTTAGAATTTATATATTGGACATCAATGTATTTATGATACTAATAGTGTACTTATGTACTAAACGGGTTTCATACTATATTGTTATTACTAAGTTTAGTGTTGTATGATGATGAGACGATGGAGATGTACGAATTATCACTTAGCACCTTTGGTGCCTGGGAAAGTCATGTGTTGTACAATAAAATAAGAGTCCGTTTTTCAATGGAAACTTAATGCCGAGCTCAGTATGCAACTTATGCTGAAATTTGAGTAAAACGCTAGGCGCTTACTTCGGCATTGGCAAACATGCTATGTTAATCTCTCGTTTTAGCAAAATTCGCGATATTGATTTCTTTAGTGGTGTAGAGTAGACCGAAGACTTCTCATAAGGAACTGTCTTCTACTGGTTAGTTTTCACGTTGTTATATAAAATACAAATACTTGTGTTATCTTTTTCAGGCATTCATTATGGCTCAAACGTGTTTCTACCTTGTCAAAACAAGTGCAAGAACTAAGTGATATACACCCACAATCATGTGCAGGCGTTGATGGTCCGGCTTGTGCAGTCATCATAGTTGATCCAGAATCGAATATTGCATTAGCAGAATCAACTACACCTACGATAACATCAGATATATCTTGGTTAGATCATGCAGCATTACTTGCTGTATCAGCTGTTGCTAAATTAAAACAGAATACAGGAAATCAGTACTCTGATTCTTACTTATGTACAGGTTTTGATGCATACTTTTCACTTGAACCATGTCTGATGTGTGGTATGGCTCTGGTTCATAATCGCATTCGGCGAGTTTTCTGCTGTCAAAAGCTTGCGGGCGACGGCGCATTTAGTAATGCAAGCCGTCTTCACGTGCAGGAACAATTAAACCATCGTTTCCGAGTATTTATTCCGCCGTAGATGTCTATGGGATTTGTTTATATCAGCATACTGACAATAAATGAAAAATAAACTACATCTTTTTGTCTTTTTATCAGGGAAGTGATTTCACATCATATGTTGTGGCGCTAATTATGACTACTGTATATGCTCGGGCGCATTCAGCTTACAAATCCTTACTATTTTGGCTTATTATAAATGACGATAATATCTAAATTTTACATCAAAAGATCTGTACACTATTTGTGATACTTAAGCATTTTTTTACTTCTCAGAGTTTAACTACTTGAAACCAGCCATGTTAACCAAGTGAACCTTGAAAATGCGAAACTAGCTATCGATTAACGTAAATTGTTTGCGACGATTCTAAATATGCCTTTAATTAAAACGAACAAATATTAAGGTTTTGTCCATTCTTCTGCAAACAGTTTGTTAAATATTATGGAATAATCTTGATCTATTTTGTCGTAACAGTTCTTATGTCTGACTTTTGGGGACTAACTGCTACTAGGAGGTCCACTTTTCAACGAAAAGTAGCATTCATGATTAACAAAGACTCAGCAAACTAGTGTTCAGGATACGCTTCCCTTCCTTTGAATTTAAAGTGGTGACGTAAAACTGGTTTGATTTTGCGGCTAGTTTGGCAATAAGTAATTTAGTGTAGTGACAACCTCATTTTTCAGTTTCGTCAAGCCCCTCTGAACATGAAGAAACCGTCAATCGGGTTAAGCTGGGGTTAGGTGTAATGGGTTATTTAAGGATACTCGGTCGATTAACAGGGTTAAACTTCCATCGCCTGAAATGCATAGGATATACAAAACATCGCCTACTCGACAAACAATAGTGAGCGTCATAGTGCGCCGGAGACAAGCTAATAGTCCGATCGATGGCCAATCGGGTGCATTTCTTTTTCCTTGATCTATCCTTTTGTTTTAGAATTAGATTTTCAGTCAAACTAGTAAGCATATTTGCCTGTTATATAAATTCAGTCCGATGGTCTGTGTTAGGACCTGCCATAGTAGATAATCTTCACAAAATTCAGTATTGACTTAAATCCAAATTCTTTTACCTACCTGCTACAACAAAGGAAGTTTATAAATTCAGACTAGTTTGTCTTTATCAAGAGTACTAACTTCTCGATCCTGCACGAGTCATGCTGTCTATCCATAGTAATGTTGTGCGAAACATTTACAGGATCGTGGACTAGTAAACCGCTTCTCAAACAGTTACACGGTAACGAACATTAATGCACAAAACGTGTAACAAGTTCATCCAAACGATTTTGTGCTACTAATCGTGAGGGGATTAGAGAACACAACTCCCAGAAACAAAGTGCGTGGACATCAGCCTAAACTAGTAATCACTGTCTTAACCACTAAACGAGTGACATGCCGATACGAAAACATTTCTGAACCTATCCTACGGCAACTAATGAATCTGCAAACTAAAGTTACGCTGCACTGCGCAAAGATAATCCTAAGCACGCTTCTCACTCCGAATTGAGGATCTTATTATTCATACTATATGGAGGGCCCAACTAGTCATACGCTTGGTATCTTTGAGCAACGTACATTTGAGATTCCAAGCCTATACAACGCATCCGGTATATTATTCAGAAACAAGTAGCGCCATGAATAACACATGGTTGGTGGAGTCCTCATTAAGAATTGAATGGCTGTCACATTTTAACGGTTAAGACCTCTGAAGTTATCTTAACAGATCCTCAGTCTCGTTTTCTATTAAGCTTTCAAATATAATCTATTTAGCTTCAGAACAAATACCTCTCATCATGTAGCATTGTCTCGCTTTTTTGGTCTAAGCAAAAGTACTGATATGAAAACGGCCAAAATATTGCGCATCAAACGTCGTTAAGACATCAAAAACCATTGTTTTCAATAGTATACTTAACACATCGCACCACATAAAGAAACTGAACAGACTGTACGACGAGACTTACACCTGGAAAATAAACGTAGCCCATGTAGAAGAGCATTGTGGTGAAAACATCAATGACCCGAGAAAGTTGAGTACTCTTCATACAGAGGTCTCCAATATACTCAGTGACACAACGGACTTTCGAAACGACTAAACAGTACAAAACTTATAGGTAATATAATTATCATGTTCTCCGCATTGATAATTCCAAAACTTTGCGCTAGTTTATTTTTAGTAAAACTCAAGTCACGAAGTTCCTGATATGTATGTATTCTGCATACTGGCACTAGGTGAAAAGTTAATGCATAATGGTAAAGAGAACAGAAAGCCACTTTGAAATTCTGCACGAATTCGTGTAAGATACGAAATTCAAATATTCAACTGCGTAATCCTTAGTGAAGTACCATTGGGCCAACGCAGTAATAACTGGAAAATAAGCGGTGTGAATCACTAAAACGTTTATTACATGTGTTGTACAATCTCGAAATGTCTCAACGAAATATTTTATTTACATATACAAAGCAAATAAACGCCATTATTGCTCAGTCTTAACCTTTTTTGGTGCTCTGAAGAAAAACAATTATATGTAGAATTATAACTTACCGATACTGAGCGGTTACCATAGCGTGACCGCGTTCGAATGGTTCAAGAGTAACCTGTTCACGTGGAGTGAATTGTAATTTTCGTAGAGTATCTACTTCCTTTGCAAACACAACCTCAGGAGCAGCAACTGAGTCAATACATGAGGCTTTGATGGATATAACAGCATGACCTCCGTTCTTTAAGTAGTACTCGGCGTTGACCCCCACTATTCTAGACTGATCAGGTTGAGCGACATCAGCAAATATACAATCCACCATACCTAAAACATATTAACCTTTAACATATGCATACCAACAAGCATCCTGTATTTGTGAGGATGTCTAGCATCTTCTATTATTGGAACCACATTTGTTCGATGCTTAGCGACATTCAAAAGATCACGTCCTGAACGATGCGAGAATTCTACAGCATAAACTACTCCATCTGCGCCGACTACATCAGAAACATGAGAGACAGTAGTTCCGCTAGCAGCTCCCAAATACAAAACACGACTCCCTGGCTTGATATGGATCTGATCAAGCCCGTTAACTATGCCTGCTGCTAATTTCGATCGAAATGGATTCCACACTCTGTATTCAATTTTACCACCCGCGTCATCCTCTACGCTGATTCGCTTTTCACCATAAACAGACTCGCCGACGACAACATTTCTCGTTACCAAGCAGTCCTCTTTGCCTTTAGCAACAAAAATACCTTCATGTCTATGGGGCTCTATCAACACTTTTTTCCCTCCTCTCATTCCTCCACGTCCACCCCTCCCTCGAGGTGTCCCCCTATTGAAACCTCCACGACCTCGACCACCAAAGTCACCTCGTCCTCTACCACGCCCACCGAAGTCACCCCCACGTCCACCTCTGAACCCGCCTCTCTCACTGAAACGTCCACCTCTACCTCCACCTCGGCTTTCATCACCAACGCTTTTCTCACCACCGAAACTATGCCTCTGACCACCTCTACCGCGTCCACCTCTAAAATTTCCGCCTGATTCTTTAATATAGGAGTGATGAATTTACCATGAAACTACAGCTTACCTGGTTTCATCGATATAAAGCACGCTGTTGTAGCGCCTCAGTTGAATTATGTCCAAGGTCAGTCTTCAGTCTTCAGTAATAAGGATAGGAGGTCTGTCGACCTATATTAATCCTTGCAGTTTCTAATACTGTGGAGGTCCAATCTCGTTTTGAATATATTAACAGACCGTGCTGATATTACGTGTTCCGGTAGAGAATTCCAGTAATTCACTACTCGGTGGGAGAAACGGAACTCCAGACGTAAACGGTTTGATCTCGGTTTTTGAACTTTCTTCGATTGTCCTCTCAAATGATCGGTTCTAGACGGAAGCAAAAGATAAGACGTGTTAATATCAAGGTCATCGTTCAGTATACAATAAGCCAATATTAGATAACCCCGTACTCTACGGTAAGATAACGGAAATAAGTTAAGGTGTCTCAGTCTGTCTTCAAAAGATAGGCCAGCTAGACCTTGTACCATCTTAGTAGCTCGTCGTTTGACTCTTTCTAGCATATCTGCTTCATATTTGAAACAAGGACTCGCTGCTTGAATCCCGTATTCTAAATGTGGTCGCTCATAAATCGGGTATAGTAATCCAAACATTCATCATCTAAATACTGAAAAGACCTACGAATTGACCATAATACCCTATAGCCTTTTGCAGCAGCAGCCTTACAGTGACTAGTCGTTTTGAGGTCATTGCTTAATATAACTCCTAAGTCTTTATAGTTTCTTGCTTTGGGTAGCACGAATCCACGTAGTGTATAGTCATACGATTCATCTGAGTTATTTAACTGCATCACTACACTCTTATTAGGATTTACTTCTAGTGACCACCTGTCTAATCATGCCACCAATGAGCTAAGTTCGTCCTGTAATACTATTCTATCCAACATACTATGTATGGGTCTCCAAATCTTTATGTCATCAGCGGAGAGTAGAACGGATGATTTTGCTACAGTTGGCAATTCATTTACATAAAGTAAAAACAGAAGAGGACCTAGGATTGTGCCTTGGGGAACCCCACTTATTACAGGTACCCACGAGGAGAGAGCCCCATTAACCCTTACCCTTTGTCTCCTGTCATGGAGAAAGTTACTTATCCAATCGACGACTGTGTTATGGATTCCAAAACGTTTCAGTTTGAATTTAAGACCAGAGTGTGAAACCTTATCAAAGGTTTTACTTAGATCTATGAAAATTACATCCACAGGAGCATTCCGATCCTTTGCCGCAGCCCACTCTTCTCGTGCAATGAGATTTGTCAAGCAAGATAGGCCTTTCCGAAAACCATGTTGTGCCCTGGAGAAAAGATTTTGCCCTTCAACATAGTTTATAACAGCTATCCGAATGATTTTCTCCATCAGTTTCACAACTGCACTAGTTAAGCTAACGGGTCTATAGTTACTAACTAAATCCCTGCTCCCAGCCTTATACACCGGACTTATTATGGCGTCTTTCCAGTCTCTAGGAAGTCTGGACTGTCTCAGAGACATGTCGAATAGTATCGCTAATGGTTCGGCAATTTCATCTGATATGGCTTTCATAATCCTAGGATGAATATCATCAGGATCACTGGACTTATCAGGTTTGAGATGCTGAAGTAGCTTTAAAACAGTATCTTTCTCAATGACTACAGGATCCATCAGCGAGCCGCCACAATCATAATGAATTGTTGATCGTTCCTCATTACTAATAAAAAACACTACTGAAATATTCTGATGTAGCTTCAGCATTCTCGGTATCACTTTCTGCCAAGATTAACGGATTTTCTTGTATCGAAAGTGATGAAATTCCATCGCTTCTCTGAGTTTGCCTTTTTAAATAAAAGAATAACCGTTTCGGACTATATCTAGAATCTCTAACCAACTGTTTTTTTATAGTCGTCTAGTCTTACTTATCAAGGCTTTACAAGCATTCCTGATCTTACAATAACTGGATCAGTGTTGTTCTAAGCCAGTAGAGATGAACATATCCCAGTGCTCCTTCTTTTTTCTAAGAAGTTTCCTGACGGGTTTAGTTATTCATGGTGGACTGTTATTTGGTCTTCGCGGTACCAAGTATGGTATGAACGAGGACACTACTAAACTAGACTTACCTTTAAATATAGATCATGTTTCTTTAACTGATATGCTAGTACCTACTAACCAGTCTGTCTTAGCAGCGCATTCCTGAATGGCTGATATGTGAGCTTTCCATACATTTGGGCGCGGTGTAACCTGATCGTATAACATGTCCCTAGTTCTAAACGCGAATGACAAAACAGCGTGATCGCTGTTTACTAACGGTGGAAGAATATTTAAGTCGACAATATCCTCAGTCTCATAAGTGATTACCAAATCCAGCAGAGAAGAACCCTGGTTAACACCAAAACGTGTGGGTTGGGATACATGCTGCACTAGTGCATGCTCCATTATTGTTATCAGTAACCTACTATCAAAGGAGTTTATGGATCCTTCTATGGTCATATCAGTCCAACTAATATCAGGTGCGTTAAAGTCTCCTATTATCAAGCACCTGGTATTATCACTCCAAAGATGAATGTGCTCTAAAACAAAGTCATCAGCTAAGCAGATTGGGCTCCGATAGATGATACCTAGCATAAATGTACTACATCCTATAGCCAACTTACAGCTGATGACTTCACAAGTGCCGCTATCATGGGATTCGCTAGTAGAGGAGCGGATATTTATACCATTGGCTATATATAACAGGACGCCACCTCCTTTTCTACGTCTATGTCTATCGCTCCTGAGATAATGGTATCCGGATAATTCTAGAGCAATGTCTAAGTCATGGACTAACCAAGTTTCTGTCACTGCTACTATGAGTGGCTTTAACCTGTCTACTAGTGCTTCTAGTTCATAGAACTTATTTCGTAAACTACGAGCGTTGGCATATAAAACTCCTAAGTAGAACAGCCTATCCACACAAGCCTTGGTAGCATTCGCTTCCAAGACCTGACTATCCGAAAACCCACTAGTCGGAGATTTTCTTCGCCGTTTTGCCGACGGGTTTCAAGTTCAGCTAGTGCTTTCTTCCTTTTTATTCTATCTTCGAGAGATATGTCAGGTCTAACTCGAATGTCAGAATTTTCGTGACAACGAGCGCTACTTAACAAGAGATCCCGTTGCTTCTCCGATCCTAGGATTACCTTAAGGAGTCTGCATGAACGGGTTTCAACATTGTCCTTGGTCCTCTTGCCTATTCTTACCAACTTTTTAACCTGAACTCCTTTGGAGTTATCTGGTAAAATACTACGAATGTATTCTCCTAGCTTTTCCAAGTCATGCGCGTGTCTAATTTTCGGATCAGGGTCATTTGACTCCCGCAATTCGCTCACAATAATATTCGATGTTATTGGATTTTTCTTCTCAGTTACGCCAGGATGGGTTTCACTCTTACCATCAGATCTTGGTAGTGCAATTTGTGGCTCACAATTTGAGTCCACCAGTGAGTTACTAACTACCTGTGTACTGCTTACAGCTTTTTTCTTTTCGTTTCGTTTCCTACGTACCGTAGTCCATTTTTCATCCCTCATAACACTGGGACTATTTGGAACGGTGGCTGTTTTATCCAGATCTTCGGTTCCCATTGAAAGTGCATTATTAACAATGTCAGTACCAGGTGGTACTACTCCCCCTGTTAATGTTAACGAAGATTCCACTTTTACGTCGGTCAGAGTCGGTTGTTTGAGGCGTCGCGTAACAGCAGGTACTACACTGACACATTCGTCACTGTCAGTGCCCGTGTTGTCAGCGCATATGCCATCCTTCTTTTTACAGGCCAAAGTCAACAGGCTCATAGCCTCCTGTATTAGTAATGCCTTGTTGGGACAGCAAAACATGCAAAGCCAATGTGAGTTAGGCTTCGAGCATCTTTTGTATGCGGTGGGACTTAAGCGGGTGCACATTTTGTGGAACCACTTATGGCATTCGTCACACTGCATCCCCTCTTCCACAGGGAACAAACAGTTTGGTTGTCCACATTTGTGAGTACTACCAACCATTTTAGTCTGATCGAAGTGTAATACACAATATGATCACAGTATGAACACAAATGCCAGTCAACGAATAAAAGGTTACCACAAGAAAAACTTTAGCAAGAGTTCAAACCTTAACGAAAGTACTTTGACACAGACCAAGAATGCTTCGAACGTAATAAATACACAAAAGCCAAAAAAACTCAACAGAATATCACTTCAACTGTATTAGATTCAATTAAAGTGTAAATCGTAGTTGTGATACGTAATTTACGATCAAAACAATTTACTAATTCAACGAGAAACAATACCACTGTCCTTTTTAGATAGCGCGCGAGCATATGTTTACAAACTCCCTTAGTTGACTTGTGAAAATCATTGTTACGTTATTTTCAAAAAGATTTTGCTCCTTAACCAGTAATATCCACCGGTTGGTGAGACAAAGGTTGATGAAATACCCTTTTTTCAGTTAGGAATTAAACAGAGATTGAGGGTTCTGCGTAATTTCTAAAGATGGAGGTTGTTTACCTGTTTCAATGTCACTTAGCATTTATAAAAGTAGCTTCTATCACGTGTGTGAAATAAGGAAATCCGCTTGTTCACATTAATATGGGAAGTCAGTGGTAAACTGATGAATCACTGTTTCCGAGATTGCATACTTTTCTGTTAGAGTTTCCTCTTTTTATCGTTTTATGACGTACATGAAATAATACTGTTAGTTGTGCCGAAAATTCTCCATATATTCAAGGTGTGACATCGTCCATGTCTGTAACACCAACCCAGTCAAATAGGGTGTTAGGTATGAATGAAGTGGAAGACATATTTGGAAGTTTTCAATGTGTCGATACATTAGAAGCGTTCGATGCGTGGCACAATGCCTTCAGGCGGGATATGTCCAGTAAAACCAACGAGGCCAGTATCAATGTTAAAAATTTATAGAACTATTTATTTCGAGGATTTATTTACTACTTCGGCTCACCCCCACCCTAGTGGGCTAGTCATGACCCTAAGGTATGATCAGCCAGACGTTTAAACCTGACAAGCTTGTGATTGATAGACACTCTTCTAATATTTGTCCACGTTCAGCAGTATCTGATCGTTTTATCTTAGTATATGGAGCCACGGGTTACAGCATAATAATAAAAATGTACACTTAGTATTTCGCTTCAGCTTATTCTACGTCGATTCTTCTCATTTTCCAGGATAAGTGGAAAAGAAGAAAAGAGAAAATGTATGTGCATGTCAAAATACACTGGTAATTGCGTGAGGAAGCAAAGCGAGAGAAAAAAAGCTTGGTAAATATGTATATGTGTGCCATGTG